AAGTCATCTTATGAAATAGCTGGCATAAAAAATACATTTTTTGAGGTTTTTTTTTTTTTTTTTTTTTTTTGGTCCAATTCGTTATTTCAGCACATTTCGCCTCTCCCACCACTAAAACACTCTGATTATGAGATAACATTCTCCGAAACTTGTTGAAGACCGCAATATTAAATTATGTTATTACATCATTTCACCATGGCCGAATTCGGATGAATTTAGGTATAGTGTTGCCTGACATACGAATCATTGAACCAAACTGTATTGATTTCCTTTGCAATTTGCTTGAGGTAAAACGTTATCCCTCCCCACCTACGCATACATTACAAAAATGTAAGGGTTTCCCTAACTGGCAACCCGACGATTAGGGATGTCTTCACGAGTGACGACATAGGTTGCACGCAAAGTTACCGCGTCAGCCAAGTCATGTGACACATACATGGCTTCTTTTAATAGATTTTTTATAGCTTGAGGTATTTCCTCACGAATACAATGTTTTGAGAAGGATTTGAAGCAAAACATTGATAGATTAATTAGTTTGAATATGTTTTTAGTCCAAATATATCATAAGATTACCCAGTTTGTACCGTGGAAGGTATCTTTAATGTGTCTTAAATTGATATTTTCTAATATAAAGGTAACAGTTATTATCGTGATAAATATATACATGTCACAGTGGCTAAGTGGATAAGACACTGGCTCGCTAGCCTGGAAGTAGGGTGTTCGATCCCTGCATTGGCCGAGAAAATTCATCCAGATTTTCCGGCGTGGTTCCCCCTTGTCAGTGATGCAGGCGGAGGGCCTGACAAGGACAGCTGTCTAGTCGTTCGGATGGGATGGAAAACTGAGGTCCCATGTACACATTGGCGTGCACGAAAAAGATCCCTTGACAGTTGGAATTCGATATAAGAGTAGGCCGTAGTGCAGCTGTCCGAGCAAACTTCCCTCATAGCACACTGTATGGCATATGCCTGTCCTCATTAGCCCAGTTCGGAGCAGAAACAGTAGGTTTTTATTGGCGCTAGGAATATGTTTGCTAACTTCATTTCGAATACTGGCGCTGGAATATGGATGAAAGGTTAAGATCATATTTTTATACTAACTACCTACATGTACATCATTGTCTTGATAATGTAACCATGTCAATTTACAAAAGTATCCCGATGACTTTATTGGTGCTTGTGTCTGTGCAGACTAATAGATGCAATGTCGTTCTGTATTTGCAGAGCCAATGAGTTATCCTGCTGTTCATTTTGTAAATGTATGATTGTCAAAGACCCTGATGGAACATGTAAAATCCCTTTTGAGTGTTATCAGCAAATTTTAGAGCTTTTTTTCATGTTGTCCCTTAAAAATTGGGTATGAGTTTTCATGAAATTAATAAAAGTTTAATATTAAATATATTTTTCACTTTAGTTCGCATAGACAGCCTCATTCTGACCTTTATTTAATAAACATTGAAAGAAAACTATAGCAGGTAGGATAAAATTGAAATAAAGTCTGTGTCACTACAGACCCGGGACTGTACAGCGCAGTGGACGCTTACTGCTAGCCCCCGGATCCATTCACTTTTTTTCGAATTGTCTGTATGTTTGTGTTTTCCTGAGTATGATGTCCTGTCCGTGTATTTGTTTTTGTGTAAATTTTGTGTGGTGCAGTCCCCCTGCACTAACTAATAGGGGAGTAACCTACGTCATAGGGGAGTAACCTACCACGTGGTGAGTGTCCACCCAAGTCCAAAATACTTAATTCTCCCTACTCAAACTTTCCTAGAGAACCATAGTCAGTTCCAGGAATATAGGGCCTATTGCAATAATAATGATAACAATAATCCTGGATCAAATACAGTAATACACCAGTTTGTTTTATCAGAACTTTGGATAATGAACATTAAGAGCATTATGTTATTTCAAGAGTAGCCCTCTTTCTGTCCACATCCCCTCCAGGACATTTAGGTGGTGGTAGTGGTGGTGGTGATGGTGGGGCGAGGAGCTGTAAGCATTTTTACACACCAGCCTATCTCTGTCATGACCTTGTCTTTCTTTTTGGAGCCATGGTGGATGGGTGACTATCGAGCCCAGTGTTTACTAAGAAAGTTGCAACAGATTTTTCCATGGTCAGATTGATTGGCGGAGATCAAGGTAAAGCATCTAGTCATTCGGATGGGTCGGAAAACCAAGGTCCACCATTTTTTTGTTGGCGTGTACGTTAAAGGAACCGTGACAGTTGGAATTCGATGAAGAGTAGGTGTAAATGCCACCGTCAGGGCAAAAAATCCCTCAGTAAACTGCATGTAGTCTGACGTTGGCAGGACGTTGGACCCCATTTCCTTGAACTGTGTATTAATTTCTCATTTTGGTGGAGTGCAGATCTATCAAGTTGTAAATTGTAATCATCTTTTAATATCTTTGCAACTTTATTTACTTTAAGGCAAGTTAATTTTATTAAAACCGGTTAGTGATGGTACCTGTCTGACATAATATTATAAAGATCAGTATATTAAAATATATGTTTAGTGCATGTAAATATACTGTATATAGGAAAGAAACCCTCAATGATAACAGTCATTCACAAACCATCTAATAGAAGACATGCTTGAGAATGGGCATGTTCAATCATACAGTTCCTTCAATAACTTTACATACTTGAAATAAGATGAGTTAGAGAAAAGAGTTGTGTTATTGAATGAACTGTAATGAAGTGGGTAAGAGCTCTAACCTCTACATATTTAGATAACTAGTGCTAACGGCTTCAATCAGACTAAATGACATTCTCCACTAATATTTCTTCAATCTTTAAATATACTTCTTTAAAGAATGTAAATAAAAGATAGTTTTTTTGGAGAGTGTGTAAGTCAGTTTAAATATTTGATTGTATACAGGCCTACAATAGTCTATGTGTATGTTTCTTCAATGATAAATGTGTTATAAGGTAACCCTGTGTATCCCCATCGGTTATTGAGATAATAAATATACTTCAAATAGACTGTATATTAACAATAATAAATTATTACTGATAGGAGATCTTTATTGCAGCCACTTGAAGTCGGTTGAATTTACACTCCAATACTAGAAGTAGTTGAAAACACGGGGCTAGGTAAAAATATCTACACTCAAAGGATCAACTTTTTATGTTTTCTACATAGCTGTCTTTTTGTTTTTCTGTGGTTATGTGTTATCATTTTTTCAATACCAAAGCTCGCACAACCAGTTATTGTAAGATATTCACATACAGGAAGTGGGGATGGTCGTAATTTTTTTCTTTGTCTATATAAAATAAAAAAGTTAAAAAAATCCATATACATGTACATTTAAATGTTTGCGTATAAAGTGATCTCACCAAAACATATATTGATCCAAAAATTATTAAAATAGGTTAATCGTAACTTAAGTTGCCATTACTTTCTATTGATTTCATGCCACCATTGTCTCATTTTCAGGCGATGTCCTGAAAGCTAATTTATTTATATCCATGGAAATATGGACGAAAATGGCATCTAACCTACTATATCTTTACTATGCAAGAACACTTTTTAGTCCTTATTTATAAGGAAAACTATCATTGGCCTCCCTTTGAGATGATCTGACATTGACTAGACCCTCTTTAGCCATGACCATGATCTATTTGGCAGTTTTACAGTATTTCTTTTTAACATGATTTAATTTTATTGCACAGATGTTGTTAGGGAAAATAGGGAGCAGTGTGTTGTTTTTAACTCATGAAAAGGGCCATCTTGACAACAGGGTGTTTAAAGTGTGACAATCCTCATTTACATTATTAGTATAATACTTTCTTTCTTTTTTATTTTATTCCTTTTTAAGTTCTCACTTTTTCCTGGTGGACTGTACCTTTAGCCCATTGGTGGGTTTTACCTCCAAGATAGGTCGAAATTGTGCTGTACATAGTCCTTGCTGCGTGAAATTTGATTTCTGTTGGGTCCAGTCTATGAAAAAAATAGAAACCCAATACAGTATCTATCTAAGTTGGTTATTATTTCCATAGTCTGGAGCTCAATTTATGTGTACGGCCATACATCATATTGATGAGCTATAAAGTAAATGTTAAGACCTCACATAACATGGGTGGTGTCCCAAGTGAGTTGTTAAATATTGTAAGTTAATGACTTGGACTGCCATTAATGTTTGCTTTTATTGCGGGACAAAAGGTTAAAGGGCAAGAATCTAATACAGACACAGGTCCAAGGGGGAGATAATTAGGTATATACAGGTATACACAGATGATTCATGTTTTAAAGCCATGCTTGTTATTATAGGGAGCCTTGGTGGCTCAGTAAGCCATGGCTTGCTATCCTGGAGGTACCACAATCGTTTCCCGGTGCTGGCCAAGAAACTTGATATGGTTTCCCCATGTCACCAAGATCCTATGTACACATTAGCATGCACGTAAAAGAACCATTGGCAATTGGAATTTGATATAAGAGTAAGCCATAGCGCCACTGTCCTTGGAAGAATTTCCACACTGTTGAAAGCCAAACAGTATGATGTTCCACCCCACCCCATTTCATTTATTTCCTCCTTGTAATTATACAAGATCAATCAACACTATAAATAATTATAATCTATATAAATAAAATCAAAGATGTTAGTGTGTGTGTTCGCCCATCATGCTTTGTCACCATGATCCACCCCAACACATGGTATCAAATTAATCAGCATGACCCTGTGAATGTTTTAGGCCATTGAATTTGGGCTCCAGGCAAATCACACTCTGTCGCGGCACTCAACCCCCACATGTAGTATCAAGTTAAACAGCATATCCCTGTGAATGTTTTTAGGCCATCAAATTTGGGCCCTGGTCATTTTGGGGTTAACATATGGTACAATTTTATTTCCATAATTAGCTTGCTCATAGGGGTCTTTAGCAGTGGGAGGAAACCGGAGTCCCAGCAGAAAAACCCATGAGGTTCGACAGGTAATCCTACTCTTTGTCACGTATGTGTGGGAACTTTGTTAAGATGTGAAAAACAACCAAATAATAAGATATGAGTTTATGAAGATTTATTTCTGACCATGTTTCTATAGGCAATAGAAATTCATGTATTTATATAATATTTATATATTTACAAAATTTGTTACTATAAATAAACATCATTGACAATTCCACAACCTACAAGGCAGAGCACACTTAGTTCACTTAAACTAGACATTTTATAAAGTACATAGCAATTAGTTTTATTTCTCCAGAAATCTAGCACCTATCTCCAGAAATATTCTTAATATGGTTCCCTAAATTTGCATGAGAAAGAGAGTTCATCATTTCACAAAGTTTCGATATATATAATTTGAAAATTCTTGGCGTATATTTGGCAAAAGACTATTGCTTCTAAATATTCAACATAGGCAAAAAAAGTTAAATCTAATTAAAATTTAAACTTAGGTTTGTTTAAGTTTAAATTTTATGTTTTGGTTGAATTACACTACATGAATATCTAACTACATCCTTAGCAGATGTTTGTTCTATTTGGAACATGTGATTGGTTAAAACTATATTTGACCAACCAAGACAATGCATTTCTTATTGGTTAGACAAGAGCTCAGATAGGGTCAATTGAACAAAAACTTCTTGGAAATGTTATTAGACTATACTGTAGTGTAAATATTAACTAAAAAAAACCTCATCCTATTCAACAGAAAGATCGACAGAAGTACTTTTTTAATCAGACAAAAAGTGAACCATTATGGTTTATAAGGACTTTCAATAGTCTATTACACAGTATATAATTGATTTTGCTATTTTGATCTCATATAACAGTGATACACAAATAGTTTCTTTTGAATTATAATTACTTTCTATTGATTATTGATAACCACCAGTGAACACATAAGTAAAACAAATCTTTTGAGACATACTTTTGAATTTTAAAGAACAGACACAACTAAATGGTAAAATGAAGATCAATTAATATTTATATATCAAAGTAAAATAAATGTATTTCATAATTCAAAATATAATTTGTCATTTATCAGTAAATGAAATCTTTATTATAGCCAACTTTGAATTATGATAAAAGAACAAAATTATTTTATTTTGAGTACATCAAATTAAAAAAAGTGCATCAAATTATCATGATAAAATTGCCCATGTTGAGAATCGAGAGATTCAATAAATTTGGTAAATTTTTTATACGATATTAAATAAATATTTAATAAAAACATAATAAATTTATCATAGTTATTTAAACCAGAAACTTTGATATGATTAACTTGATAGTTGATAGAAATGGATTTAATTGGTATCAATAGAAATGTAGATATGGACAATCACTGATATGAACCTGGCACAATGTCAGAACACCTGACATTTATTCACAACAAAATTAACAGTTGATAATTTTCTTTTTTATCAAATTCCAATGTAATAACTTAAAGATAAGAATTCATAGTTGTGAATTTAAACTTCAACATTACACTTTCATCATCTTAATATTTTTTACATCGGGTACAATCGTAAAATTTATATAACTTTCATATTCCAATTAAACTATTGAAGGTGAGAGCTGGGACCTATGAATTTCAACATGAACATTATATTTTCAATTAAATGTGTAGAATTCTAATTTGTGAATTTACTGCAGAAATGATATTCAGTGACATATGTTCTAGAAAGATTGAAAACATATTTGGTATTTCTATTAGATAAAAGTCAAAATCAAGAGATATTTTTAGCTACTTAAATCACTACTTTGGGAACCATTAAAATAGTTCTCTTTATTATCAAACTTGTATGAAAATTAAAATTTAAAAGTCACAATTATAAATTCTTATTTTATATTTAGCTTCTACACATACGCCACTAAAAGTTATAACTGTTTAATAGTTATATATTTCAAAACATTTATAGTAAATTAAGTCAGAACAATTGCATTATCATTATATTAAAGCAGGGGGGATGGAAATACAGGGGCTATTCTACTGACAAAACAGAAAGTGTACAGTATTAATTCTTCACCAGTGCCACAAATATAGATTAATAATTGTAAAAAAAAAACATTACAGCGATAATCGCATTCAGACTGACTAACATTAGACAATCAGGCTTTGTTTGAAATAAATCAGTGTACAAGAGTTATGTACCTTTGATGTCATTATATGGACAATATAAACAGCTGCATCATGGGATTGCATCTTGACTTATATCAACATGTTTCTAACTTGTACGGATTTGTTGAACTTTCCTTTCAAAGTCTACCTCCTTTTCTCACACATAAAATAATAATAATAGGTTTTTTTAAAAGTACAATATATACATATAATACCAAGGCAAATATCGTCACGTCAGTTTGAATCGAAATGAGTATCTTGCCATAATTTGTACTTGACTTTGTATTTTGGATAAAGAGCACTATATAAAGTCTGTGTATTCACCGAATACTCCCTGTTAAAACACTATATATATTAATATATGAAATAGTTTTTAGCTTAAAGCTACTTCATGGGATTGTTAAAGTGTCTTGATCGCACTATGTTGTAATCACACAGGAATTTAATTCTTGTGATGTATATAATATATGAGACCACCTTGAAATACCGTTTTCAAAAGATGCTGCTTGGTGCAAGTACCGTACAATATATTACATCTATAAATAGTATGTTTTTTGACAGTCCAATGTCAATATTTGCACTTCACAATAAAAATCAGTTCCACACACGGTTCATATTGCAACATTACTTATCAATATCACAATTTGTTCAACTGTCAAAATGAACTTTTGAAGTTCCACAAATAAAATTATCGTTAAAAAGGGCACTTTTCCTGCCATATCAATTGATTATGAGAAATATATTATCTGGAGTGAGCGTCGGGATCTGTCGAACTACTTTCACGTATCTTGTCCTTATTTTCACTCGTACTATCTGCCGGACTACAACCCTTCGATTTAGTACTGGCAGGTGAATTATCATGGCTGCGTGAGTGAGTAGCACTTGCCGAGGGTATGAGAGGTGGTGGGGCACCGGGCATACAGGCCGGGGAATTACTTTTGCTGCCAGTATGGTTGATCATTGGACTCACTGTCCGAGGAAAATGATTAAAGAGCTGCATGTCGGCCGTCCTCATTGGAGGAAACCTGGGCTGTTCGAACGCTAACCTATCTTTTTCATACTGAGGCAGACGCTCATAACATTGTCGTCTGAATTCCATTTCTCGTTCATGGTCCCTCATCAGAAACTGTTCTTTAAGTTGATCCTGTTCCATTAATGACATTGGGCGGGGTAATCCACCCATCATACGTTCTCTCTCGCGTTCTAACTGTAGTCTATGATTTAAGTCCATATTTTTCTCAAACGGATTCCACAATGAGGGATGAGAGGGTCTTTCTGGGTTGAGATAATGTGTGCCTAGAACCCTTGCCCGGTCCAACATGTTTAGGCCTAAATGAGCACTAAGGGGAGGCCCTAGTGGATTGACATGAGGTAAACCTCCAAGACCAATAAAATTGTTCCGTGATAAACTCATAGCTTTTTCACGTTCTAAAGCCACAAGGTCCTCTTCCCGTCTCTCTTCTTTCACTTTAATCACATTATTAATACTAGGACCGTCCTCGTAACGTCGATCTCCATTCATATCAGTTTTTATAGAGTCTAGTCGGCCATTACGTATCGGAGATCTAGATCGCGAACGAGAAGAATGATGATGATTATTTTCGAGTTCCTTAAATCTTTCTCGAGATCTTTCAAATTCACTATTATTTATTCTATCTCTATGCTCTGAATGTCTTCTTTCTCTGAAATATTTAAAGTACAACAATTAGGTTATGTCATCAAAATTATTTGTGTAGGCAGTACATATGCTTTGGGCTCAGTAACTAGGATGTTCCAGGTTCAATTCCAGAGTTGACCGAAATAGTTTCTCTGGATTTTACAGTCTGGTTTCCCCATGTCAGTTGCGTGCCTTGCAAGGACAAAGCTCCTAGCCATTCAGATTGGACAGAAATGAAATAGAGTTTAACGTCCTACTCCGACTGGGCTAGTTGAAGACAGGCATGTGTCATACAGTGTACTATGAGGGAAATTTTGCCCAGACAGCAGCACTATGGCCTACTCTTATATCGAATTCCAACTGCCAATTGATCTTTTACGTTCCCGCCAATGTGTGTACAAAGGACCTTGTTTGTTCGTCCCATCTGAACGATTGTACATTGTCCCTTGCCTGGCCCACTGTCCTGTACTCCTGACAAGGGGGAACCACACTGGAAAATCCTGATGAACTTTTTTGGCCAATGCAGGTATCAACCTCCAGGTTAGCGAGTCAACATCTTACCCACTGAGCCACTGTGGCTCCCCAGATTGGACAGAACACTGAAATCCACCTGTGTACACATTAAAGTAGGAATTCAATAAAGAATTGATGGAAATGCTGCTGTTGGGACCACATGTCTTCATAATTCCGATTAGTTCAGAAAAGTAGGACCTAGACCCAATTTCATTCCCTTTTTAGAATTTTTAATTGGATTGTGTGTCAGATTAACTGACAACAGATTCTAAAAAAACCTAATATAACAGAACAAGCATCACAAATGATCTGGCAGCAAATAAATACCTTTCTCTCTCTTCTTCTTTTCTTCTATCCATTTCTCTTTCTTTTTCCCTTTCCCTCTCTCGTTCCCGTTCTCGCTCCCGTTCTCGTTCCCGCTCTCGCTCCCGTTCCCTTTCAATTTCCCGTTCAACATCAGGTTTGGGCCACGAAGGGAAAGATGGTGGTGTTCTATGAAGTCTGTTCCAATCATGAGGTGAAGGTGTACCAGGACCATCACGACCATTCATAAATAAACTATTAACTGTAAAATATAAATAATTTGCACATTAAGATAGTGAATCCAATCTCATTCAAAAAATAACAGCAGATCAACAATTTTCTATGCATAAACAAATCCTCAATGTTCACTGACAAAAGACTGCTTTATTTTTCATAACATCATTCCTTTGAGAGAACCCAATTTTTTTAATTCTTTCTTGTGATTGAGTGCTGTCAATTTATGAAATGCAGTTTCATGTATGACAGTTGTATCAGGAATTTAACTGTTTGAAATCCATAATTCAAATCTTTCATTGCTCAATTCACATTTTCCAAGAGGGGGCACACACCTTTTGGTGGACTTGCGATGGAGCCCAGAATCGCCCACCCACCGCCAGACTAACTTACTATTTATGAATTGGTGTATAACATCTAGAGTTAGGGTGACCCATGCACCTACAGAAATACAGTCAACCGCTGATAGTTCGAGACTACCACTGAAGCGTGCACATTCGCCGTGTCGAGTCCAACTTTCTGACAGTATGATACTATAAATAGCCATGGCACGTGCAATTCTCTACAAATCTATCAACTATTACAGCCGTAAAAAATTTATTGTTGACGATTTTGAATAGCAGTAAAATTAAGCTTCTTGGTTATTACAGCAGATTTCGAAATTACGTTCGTTTCATTTTTTATATCGCTTTAGGGTGACCCATGCACCTACAGAAATACAGTCAACCGCTGATAGTTCGAGACTACCACTGAAGCGTGCACATTCGCCGTGTCGAGTCCAACTTTCTGACAGTATGATACTATAAATAGCCATGGCACGTGCAATTCTCTACAAATCTATCAACTATTACAGCCGTAAAAAATTTATTGTTGACGATTTTGAATAGCAGTAAAATTAAGCTTCTTGGTTATTACAGCAGATTTCGAAATTACGTTCGTTTCATTTTTTATATCGCTTTATCATTAACTGTACCGTTAAGAGCGGCATCTTTTGGTTTAGTACAAATAATATCTCTGAAGCACTCGGGTTAGACAGGAACATGATACTAGCAGTAGTTTCATTTTACTTTTACAAGCTTCTTAAAACAATTGTTTAGCTAGCTAACGTGCTCATTTCTAAATTCAATTTTTTGTTCTAGCTTTCTGTTATGTTTCGTAAAAAAGTAGTCTTGATTATCCCGACCTGTCAATCAGCCCTAGAATGGTCGATAGACTGGTTAAGCGAGACTAATTTCAAAACAAGGGCACGTAACCTATCTTTTACTCAAGAGTGTCTGGATGTTATGGACGACACATGGAACCAGTTTTCAGTCTATTATTTATAGATGATTAATGGTCATAGCTTATTAAGTACAACATGATCGTTTATTTAGTGACTATAATTGTGTGAAACTGATTTGAGGCTTGGCATATATATAAATATTGTGGCGAAATTGTCGAGATATATGGAGATATTAATTTATGGTGGGTCACCCTACTAGAGTTGTCTATATGTGAAGCTAGTGCTATGATATATTGATATATCCTTATAGGTTTACTACTCTAAAGATATCTAGAACCACACTAATAATACAATAAATAATAAAATACAATAAAACCATGTACTAAATTTATATTCTTCATTTATGCAGTGTAATACACAATCATTGTAATAATTTATATATTTTTTAAAGTAACTCTTAATTGCTTTATTTAATTTCCTATATAAATCAGATTTGAATATTGTGCATACAGATTATATGTCCAAAAAATTAAAGATTTAACTTTGCAAAATGGGAACCAAACTGTTTAAAACACATTTGAGTATTTATTACAATAATTGTGGATTCAATGAATACATGAAGTATTAAATAAAATAATAGAAAGGGGGATGATCAAACCTTTACCTAGTCCGCCAAACATTGCACTCATAGACGGATACGGTGCTGTCCGTGGAAACGGTGTTACACCTGCAAATAAAATAAATTACTTATATTAAATTGCAGACAGATAACAGGTAAAAAGAAAAAACAATTGGGACTAACATCTAAAATATTTCTAATTGATTCATTGCAATATTCATAGGGTACTTAAACAGTGCAAGGAAACCGGAGGTTGACCCTACGTCTTGCCGAGATCATTCACAGGGTCATTCATCACCCAAACCCCCCTAGACTAGTATTTCTGAAGAAGCTTGCTAGAAGATGTCAGTCAATGTTGAATGCCGAGACCATCCGGAAATGAGAACAAGAAAGCGTGCGCATGGAATCATCAGAAAAATATTTGTACTTACCTAAATGATTAGGATTAAGAAAATTACTGCTAGCTGAACTGTGAGGAATACTGTCCAATATATTCCGACTCTGAGACGCTGTAATATACAAACAATTCCATAGTATTATTCTAGCTATGTATTTTGTTATATTGTAATGAGAATTAATATGTGTTATATATTTACTATGTTATAAATGTGTCCTTCACCATATTAAATTTATTATATATTACTGGACATATGTTAAAACCCAGAAAACTTACCTGATGCTAGTAAGGTTGCAGGATTGACTGAAAGTTCTGGGGGACGATGTAATGTTCCGCCTGGTAATAAGTGACTAGGAGGACGTAAAGGATCTCCGACACGTAGTTCATTGCCTTTAAATAATTCAGCTGGTGTTTTTTGTTGATGATGATAAATCTCCCACGCTACACGAACATGTGCTGCACACCATTTTCCTTGTTTCTACAATATAAACAACACATTAATTACTTCCTTTATATACCCACATAAACATTTTAAATTCAGGGTGCACTTAAACACCCAAATATAGAGTTATGTCGAGTACAAACTAGTAACAATAGAACTCAGCTCATGCACATTTGATATCATGGTAACATATACCAATACAGAGCTATGTCGAGTGCAAATGAGTAACCATAGAACTCAAATCATGAACATTTTAATTCAAGGTGTACTCATACACCCAAATCTTCAGTGACCTAACCAGTAACCAAATGTAAAAAGAAGAGGAAACAAGCCAACAGTGAGGCTGATGTCCCCCGCCGAAATAGGAAAATAATTAGAGGACACATATAAATTTATCACAAATTATCTTTTACAAAGTATTGAACAATCAAACAGTATATCTTTACTTATAGTCTAACAATCAAAGTAGGAGAGTTATTGTTTTCCAAAGTCTCGACCAATCAAATTGCGTATCGCTCTGCTTACCCTGAGCAGAAAATGCTCATTATCAAACATAGTCAAGGTATTACTGTAATGAAACTATACACCAAGTTTCATCAATCTCACTTAATTAGAACTAAAGTTATCGTGTCCCAAAGCATCAACCAATCAAATTGCTTATCTCTGCTTACCCTAAGCGGAAAATGCTCATCTTCGAACTCCATCAAGGCATTGACCTAATCAACACATACACCAAGTTTGAACATTCTAGCTCAATTAGGAAGAGAGTTATCGTGCCCCAAAGTATCAACCAATCAAATTGCTGCTTACCCTGAGCAGAAAATGCTCATTATCAAACTTAGTCAAGGTATTACTGTAATGAAACTATACACCAAGTTTCATCAATCTCACTTAATTAGAACTAAAGTTATCGTGTCCCAAAGCATCAACCAATCAAATTGCTTATCTCTGCTTACCCTAAGCGGAAAATGCTCATCTTCGAACTCCATCAAGGCATTGACCTAATCAACACATACACCAAGTTTGAACATTCTAGCTCAATTAGGAAGAGAGTTATCGTGCCCCAAAGTATCAACCAATCAAATTGCTTATCTCTGCTTACCCTAAGCGGAAAATGCTCATCTTCGAACTCCATCAAGGCATTGACCTAATAAACACATACACCAAGTTTGAACATTCTAGCTCAATTAAAAGTTATCGTGTCCCAAAGCATCAACCAATCAAATTGCTTATCTCTGCTTACCCTAAGCGGAAAATGCTCATCTTCGAACTCCATCAAGGCATTGACCTAATCAACACATACACCAAGTTTGAACATTCTAGCCCAATTAGGAAGAGAGTTATCGTGTCCCAAAGCATCAACCAATCAAATTGCTTATCTCTGCTTACCCTAAGCGGAAAATGCTCATCTTCGAACTCCATCAAGGCATTGACCTAATAAACACATACACCAAGTTTGAACATTCTAGCTCAATTAGGAAGAGAGTTATTGTGTCCCAAAAAGTGTGACGGACAGACAGACGGACGGACAGACAGACGGACAGACAGACGGACGAACCCATTTTAATAGTCCCCTGCTTTCTTCGAAAGGCGGGGGACAATAATGATCAGTATATGGGAAGAAATCAGAAATCCCGGAGAAAATCAACGAGGTCATGCATTGACCCTATTCCTTGTCACATACAAATAATTGCAAACAGGGAACTTGAGCACAGGTTAGAACCTCCCCCCCTCCCCAACACAAAAACACACACACACACAAAAAAAAAACTTAAGCAAATGTTAGAACACTCCCCCAGCCTCATATTGAGCACATGTTAGCACACAACCCCACCCCATCCTAATATATAGTTATCATATAAAGAGTATAAGATGTAGAAATAATTTCTTTGATAAGTGTTGAAATAAACTGTCTCTTTTATCAATCTGTATCTGTCAACACTATCAGAATTCTATCACTCTTAAACATCTTAATGAACCAAGATAGTAGAAATAGGAGTATTCATTTTATATTTGAGAACCAGGTAGGTATAGTACTCAAGCAACAAATGTTTCATGTTAAATGTAGAAGTTGTGTAAATTTTTTGTACCAACAATGATTTATCTGTGATCTATCTGTAAACTAACAGTACAGCTAGTCCATGATAAAACAAAAACAAGCGATAATGGTGATAAAATAGAGATAAAACCCTCATATTTATGTAGCTAGTTCACCCAGGTACAAGCCATTACTGATAAACTAGCATTTGTTGAAAGAGTGTTGGGACTGATAACCACTACATGTACAAGTATTTAAATATACATTTCAATGACATGGATCAATTTAATGATAACCTGTTTGACACTAGACTCTACACACCCTATATATATATCTGATAGAGTACTACCTCAACATGATCTATAATATATTATCTAAATAACTATAATATTATATATAGCCAATAAATCATAGATTATCGGAAGGAAAGTATCCATATCAACACAACTAAGTCATGCTGGGACTAAAATCTTTCAAATTTTTTATTTTATTCTTTTGCTTGGTTAAAGATACATTAGTTAAGAGTTTAATCAAGAGTTTGCTATTCTTGCTGTAATAATTCAAAAATAGATGGTAAAAAAAAGAGAAAATATTGAAAACTTCAGTCAAATTACTTTATTCTGAACAGAGTTGTCACTGTTGGAAGTTTGGACTACAAATAGGCATCAACTGTGTCTGCACCGTCTACGAGAATTGCCGATTGTTTGATTGACAGACGATAACTCCACCCACATAACAGTCAACATTAGCTTGGTCGGCCATTTCTTGATTTAATTTTAAATGGAAGACTGTTTAAATCAAAGCTGTATCCAAGCCATTCGAGGGTCTACAGACTTGATTTTGAGCTTGTCATATAAAAGGTCTAATTAATAATTTCTATAACATCTGAAACCTAAATAAAGACTTGCATTTTAATCAGGAAAATGTAGATCCCTGAGAAATTATCTCCGGTCCTGAAGTTGACCCTTCCCTTTGTCACATGTAACAACAGGATGAAACCTAGGACATCTTGGTCAGTCAATACCTTTCTCCACTCTCATATAGGAACATTGTAGAGATTCTATATAGAAATCAGACCCTCAATGAATTTTTACTCTATTCTAAGTATTCAGTACTCACAAATCTCAATACATTTTGATCGTAACACAGGATTTACTAACTGGTATGATAATCATTCAAATACTATCATGATCATGAAGATTTATAACAGAATCACAATGTTCACTAATCAAACATCTACATAGATCCTAATCCTCAAATAACAAACTTGACAAGACTGTACACAAAGTATAAAGATTTAATCCAGGATGCATTTCAGTCAGTAGTCTTTTATCAGATAACTCAACTATGGTTACTGGAGGATTGCTTATTTCCTACCCCAACAGTATCCCCCCACACTTACTTTGAGTACCAGGGTTCTTCCACTCATTTTATTATACTATATAAGTAAGGACTTTAATTAATCGTCAAAGTTTACTTTCCTAATACATTATATCCAATTCATGTACTTTCTCTTTCAACTGTGCCAAATTAATCAAGTCTAATAACCTGATTGGGGTAATAGTATTTTAGTTAGAATACTCAGTTCTTCTAGCCAGATTGGGTTAATAGTAATAGTAATTTGTTTAGAATATTAGTATACCATCAAGTGAACTATAATTATGTTTATATTACAGTACGTAGATAACATCTATGATATATATTAAAGCAGAAAAAAAAACAAATATACACCAACTCTACTAAACCAGTTTGTTAGTTTGGGCTAATTGACAATATGGGCAGCTGCTGTGAAGAATGGTTGTCTTATTTTAGATACTTATCATAGAGAGAACTAAATTACCACTTCTAAAAACATGACGGGTGGTTGCTTTCAAATACATATAATGCACTTCGAAGATGGTACAACAATATAAGAAGAATGCAAAGCAATCAAAACAGAATCACATGTTACATTTGGCACAGACATGTTTGTTTTTTTATCTGCCATGTATTTTGACTTGAAGATAAATCAAGCTTTTAGATAGCCATAAAATAACATCTCTCTACCAGTAAATCTGAGAGATTTGTGACTAAAAAAAAGGACGATAAATCAGAACAATTTTCAATTTCGGGTGTCTCAAAGCTTGTAATATGTCACAATAAAATAAACGCAAGATATAATCTACGGGAGCAAGATGACTTTTTAATTGCTTTAAACGTGGGAGTGAACAGAACAGCAAGTATTTTATGTTTTCAAAAAAAAAAGAAAAGACAGAAATATTTCAGAAGAAAGACATACCAAGAAATATATTTGTAGATAAGAATGGTATTATTATACATGTATTATTGTTAGAAATGTTTAAAGTATATGAGAAACCATCAACGAGTTACGTAAATATTGTAGGAGATGTTAATATCATTAGGGCGGTGTAGAGATTATCAATATCTAGGCAAGTCTATATAGATACATGAGTATACCACATATATCTCCACATATCATCAACCAATCATCAAACACTTGTATATTTATAAACATGAAATATATCTACATCATATTACAGCTCTATGAAACCATCCATCAACCAGATTTATTTTATCAGTTTCTAGAATGAAGTGTGGGGGTGATACCGACATACTGTTTTTACACTTTCCTCCCTTAAAACAACACTAGTAAATCTACAACTTGGTGTTGAAGCCAACATGTGACTCTGTGCTTGTTTGGATTGAAAATAAACTTTGTGTAACAATTATCTACATGTTGTAAATTTGGCACACAAGAGTTCAAAGGTTACGAAAACTGATCAGGTTTATTATAAAACATTTAAAATCTCCAGACATACAAGCTTCCATTTTCTAAGACATTAGAAACTGATGAATCATATAACGTATATATTGTTTTGAGAAAATGGAGATGCCTAACTGGGTTTTGTTTTCTCATGAGAATGTACGCCTTGGCCAACTTTAGAACAGAAATTAAATAAATGAAGGTGAATGTTTTTGCCAATACCTTACTAAAACCATTTTGTGCATAACTACTGTTGACGTCACATGAGTTACAAAATCAAATTTTGCATGTGCTTTTGAACTGCACCAATATATTTTGTAAACTTTAATAGAAATTGAACAATGGAATAGTTATGAGAATAGTTTTGTACAATATCCCTGCACTTTTAAAATGAAATGAGATGAAATGTTGTTTTTTTTTATCCTCCTTTTCTTCACCAACTGGGCTAATGGAGACGGGTTGCTTTTTAAAATATAAATAGATATAAAATATGGGAAATTCCCTAACACTCTATAAAACTCATCATCAATAACCTGTTTACGCGTTCAACTTTCAAAACATGTTATATTTTTATTTTTTATGGATGTTAGAATGAAGTTTTTGTGAGCAATAATGATGGAGTATGTCTGGAAAGAAAGAATTTCAAAAACAAAAAAATATCTAATTTTCTTTTCAAATTGAATAAAAACACCAAATCATGACTAGATGCAGTAATATATCAAATTCCATATCATTGCGAAATGCTAAACACAAGTGAATTCAAATAAATACGTTTTTTTCTTTAAATGTCAGACTTTACATAACTGTCATTTATATTCAAACCACACAAATAAAGCTAACCATCATGATAAAGTTCAGATCCAAGATGGGTAAAACAGAATTGTAAACAGCAGAGAGAGAAATGGAGTTTAATGTCGACTCAACACAAACTAGATCATTTCAGGACTAACATGATTCAATTTATTTCAATAATCCAATTGCACGTAGGGGTCTTTAGCTGTGAGAGAAAACCCACAAGGTTGTACAGGTGACCCTACTTCTTGTCACATAAAAACTTGACTTTATTACAGACCTTATGATCTAAAGTGCATGCGTTAGACCATTTGCCAACCAACTCCCTAAACAGCATATAGAGCATATTCACAAAGAATTTGAAGCCTTTCCCCAGATCATAAGTTTGATTTCCAACAACCAAACCATAACCTTTATTTGAAGAACAGATTTTCTACCCTGACAAATGATAGAATTTAATTTTCAGGGCCACTCACCTTTGGTTGTGGTACACTGGTTCCTGGTGAGGGTTTATCTCTTGCACCTAATGGCAGCATAACTTGTCCTGGAACTATCGTCTGAAAAATATATATAGCCACTTCATATAAAAGACCTGTTTATAAAGAGTTTCTGTTAAAATAAATAAAATATACAATTATCAATTCGAAAAAGAAATCAAATACCATGTCCATAAATGTCCACTTCACACAGGGAAAATTCACAAATAAGAGACAGTCCTATGAAAAAATTATAACAGGTGTGTTATAAAAAGAGCAAGCATACTTTGCTTTATGCATACTATTAATAAACATTAAAACATACTAATCTTGTACTTCTAACAGTTTTCTAAAAGTGTCCCTTGTTTATTATCTCTTCATAATGCGACTTGATGTGAACAAAACAAGAGGTTCTTAAATCAACAGAAATTTAATCATGTAAAATCATGAGGTTTAAAATGTTATTGATTATTGTCTATTATTAAATATCCATGTAAATTCATGAAATTTAAAATTAATTGATTATTGCCTATTATTTAATACCCATTTAAATCATAAGGCTTAGAATTAATCTATATATTTCATAATTTGATTATCGCGTTTTTGTTTCAAATAAATGACTATATTCAAATTATTTCAGTCAAACTCTATGAAATATACAAAGAATAAAACTGTTTTTAAACAATAATGATATGCTCTCAGAAGTATTAGTGTACATGTATGTAACTGGCTAATTGAATATAGTTCAAATGGCATAAATTTTATATATCTATAAAACTTCAATTACATATTGATTTTTTCATGGAATCTATTATCTTTTATGACCCATGGGCTTTTTTAATAAAGATTTATGATTAAACTAGACTTGTTCAATTTCAACCAAACTGAGGTAAAATGTCATAAAACTAATAGAATTATCAAAGGATGTGTGAATGCAAAAACTGAAAAACAGCAAGTTATTGAAAAGCGCAGCAGTTTTTTTTCTACGATTACATTAACATAATGGTCACAGATGTCGGAACAGCAGATGGGGAGAGTGTAATCAATACGGCACCAGCACATGTATCATACACAATCACGATGCATCAATACTGCAGACAAAAATGCCAAGTTGGGAGAAAAAGATAAGGCAATATATGTATACTATTGACAGAAAGGCCAGTGCATGTCAAAGTCAAGAGATTACAAAAAAAACATGGAAGCTATATAAACGAATAAATTCTAATACTTCATGTATGAATAATTTATTTGAGATAACAGTAATATATCAAGAGGTATATTGCATGTAATTTTTAATATTGGTAATTTCAATTGTTACGGTATATAGAAACTATCTAAAAGGCAATAAAATGAAACTACAATGTAATAAAAACTGGATATTATGAAATGAAATAACTGTTGAGAATATCTATATTGATGTATAAAGTACCATTCTCCATGATTTATTTTTACCGAAGCAATTTTGTTTTAAGAAATGGAGTTTAACGTCCTCTCGACACAAACTAGGTCATTTCAGGACTAACACATGGTTCAATTTTATTTCAATAATTTGCTTACTCGTAGGGGTCTTTAGCAGTGGGGGGAAACTGGATGACCCGGAGAAAACTAAACAAGGTTGGCTTGTTAAGCCTATAATGTAGTATAATTAACACCACAATAGAACATAAAGTACATATGTATTTTCCTAGTACAATTTCTTTCCTGTTTACAAATACGTAGATTTCAAAACTAAGTTTTAGTGAAGTTGATTAACTCATACTGTATGTCATTGGTACAATAATGTTATTCAAAATCTCAGAAAACAGAAAATTTGGAATCAAATGTCGAATATTGAAATAATTTTCATGCAAATCGTATGTCAGATATTCCTGATATCAAACTTAAAACTCAAGTTTTGCTTGGAATTTCCAAAGCTATATACAGATGTAAATTTGGTCCAAAAAAGTTCAGCTAGAGTGTAAATTCGATTATGCAAATGTCTTTTTACTCTTGTTTATTTTTAATTAGTTTCTGGTTACATTTCTTAAGGTCCTTAAAAAAAGATTAAAATTAAAAAAAGAAGAAATTGTAACTTTTATTCTGAATTTTCTTTTTTCTGGAATATGTGAATATGAAGACTATGTATAAACTATTTTATGAGGTGTTTTTTTTATGTTCAATTGAACGTTGAGTGTTTAAACCAATGCTTTAGGGAAGAAAAAATATTTTGATCGCCAAAATAGATATGCATTTATCAAACCTTTGTTTAAATCTGAATACAGAAGCTAAATAATATCAGGCCGATCTCCAGTATCACGAATCGATATCTAGATTTAATAAATTTACAAGAAAGATTGATACAGAGTCTATAAAGAATCAAGATTTTGTATTCGTGGCAACATAACACGGCCTCAAGCAAATCATACTAAATTTTATATCACAGAGCATTGGATTAAACACGAAAAATAATGACTGAAAATGACGACAACAAAAATATCTTTGAATGTGAAAGATGTGTTTGTTGTCATCAAGATGACTGTGAATCTGAAGTAAGACAGCTAGGGTGAAATAAATATGGTCGGGTAGTCCCCTGTTTCTTATTCTTCAACACGTCGGCTCGTTATACCAGCTCCAGTTCAACACAGATACAAATATCACTGACATCATTTCAATATGCATGACAAGAATTTACATCTCATAAATAAACATTAATTTGAAAATATTTTTTTAGAAATATTTAATATAAATTCATGTGCCAGAACGACTGATGATGACTTTTTCATGTTTCATTTAAATCTTTAATGTATTCATAGAAATTAAACTGAGCTGCGAGCGCAATATTTGTCAAACCGTGTTCCATTGTTTTCACCATAAAAGAGGACATTTTTATGTCTGCATATCGTTTTTAATACGTTAATAATAATTTCTTCATAGAATTACTAAATTAGACTGAAAAAAGATTTTTAACAAGAGCACAAAAACATCCTCTCAATATTTCTAGCAAGAGACTACTAATGGTGACAAAAATGGAATTGGCTGTCAATAATTTAGACACAAAGGTACCAACCCTTTCACCCTGTGGTTTTTGAAGTGGGGTCTTCCAAGCCTGAAACAATGGACAAAACATGATCTATATATAAAGACAAAAAGCTGGATAGAAATAATACTAGCTATAAAATTATCAACATTAATTGACAGACAATAAGCCAGTTTAACTTTATACATACAGCTAGATAGCATTATTCACAAATTACTTATTTATTTAAAAGAAGGACTGAATAAAATGAGAATATAAAAAGCGCACAGTACGCAGTTCTCTACTATACTACTGACTGAGCTACAATTATCCCAAGGCAAAAAGGGCACTTGCCCAGGCACCAAAAATTTTGAATCTAGTTTATAACATGAAGAAGCATAGTGTAAACTTGATAGAATTTGGAATAGTATACAGAAATTATAAAGATGCCAGAAAAGGTCCCAAATTGGTTCTTGCCTGGACTAATTGTGTTTCTAGGCAATTGGTGTTTATGATGAGTTATAGATAAGGATGATAGCTAAAACTAGTATCTGATTATATTCATATATATGTATAAGCTAGTATTAGATATATGTGTGGGGTTATTGATATATCTATAAGACTTACCTTAGGTTGAAAAGCTCCATATAAACCTGTAGATATTGAACTAGACGAAGGTCCCGGAGGCAGTAACGAGGAAAACCCTGGATAACTTGGTAAACCAGGCAACTGAAATTAATATGTAACAAAACAAAGTTACGAAGACTGTTTTCTTTCTTTTCCAAATGGTATCAACAGACAAATATTTCATCCATACAGCACAAAGTGTAGTTTAGTATTAATATTTTGAGACTTTATAGCATAGTTGTGATGATGTAAAAAGAAACGGATTTAGTTCTTAAATAAATTTGTGTCTTATTATTAACAGATGTAGCGTACTATTATAAGTTTATCCGATGTTTATGACATTAATTAATAGCATGTATTATATCTATTACACCTTTAATCATATCATATCATAATACCACAAACTTCATGTAATATCATTATCACGTTTCTTTACACTAATAATACTTTCCAATTAACAGGTGCATTGATAACTCAATATACAGGTGCTTGAAGGACACAGAAACATCACTCTAATATATTTATATCATCAAAACATTATTATTTGCTCTATGAATAAGTTTAATTCTTTCTTAGAAAAATTAAGTAAAAAAATTTCAAATATGATGGGTTTTTTCTGCTAACATGATAATGTGGTTTGGGCAAAATGCAGTGGTTTGCCTTTTTTAAACTTAATTTTGAGATGCCAGTAATGTATATATCCAATATATAGATACAGAAACCAGTGTCTGATCTATATTATGAAAATATTATTTCTAGCTGGTGTAATGCATATATCGCCAGTATGTAACATGATGAACTACTAAGTGGCACTATAACATTTTGTATAACAGCCCCCCAACACATACCGGTACTACAGACATTAAAGAATAAAATTCTTCAGTTAATGGTCTTAATTCTGAGATTTGAAAATTCATTATCATAAAAAGTAAATAATTCTAAAAGACACTTCTGCACCTTGAAGGCAGCAATTGCTTGAAATCTAAATTTTTACTTTTCTACAAAATAAAAAAAAATAAAAGTTAATATCTGTGAAAATTAAACTTACATTTGGTCGATAGAGTGGACTGTCATAAGCTTTTGGAATTTTATCAAACTGAAAATTAAAAAACATCCTTAGAATTATTCAGACAATCTATAAAGTAAACAAAGCTGTCTTATAATCCTAAATGACATTTAATATCTAATTCTTTCCTGTTGGTTCCTGAAACCTTCTATAAATGACAAGTAATTTTGATTTGTGAGATTAATCAAGTCTGATAGTCTGAAATGTGACAGGGCAAGAATGAACTGGATTTTTAACATCTGGCTACCAGTGGGAAAAATGCATAACTTAAAATAGCTTCAAAATGCCTTTAAGTGGCCTTAATCAATGTCTTTGAATAAGAGCATAATTTAGTGCATTCCAGATTCCATAATTTAACAAAAAGATAATTTAATGGATTAGTAAAAAAATAGATGAATAGATCAATCTAAAGTATATGTAAATAATAACTTACCAAATGAGGAGGTGGGGTGGGGACCAGAGATGGGTGTGTACCCAAGGCCCCATATGCGTGTTGATGCATATGTTGATGATGGTGAAGATGAGAATGTTGATGTTGATGAGACGTTGGTTCGTTACGGATGTATGGTGAAGGAACCAGTGGATTGGAACTTGAATCTCTGTTGTGAGCTAAAAGACGATTATTTAAATCTTGATGTAAAAAGTCTGGATCTGAAATACAGATCAGACGCGGAGTTTATAAAATACAACATGCAAGTTTTTTTAAAAAACTTTTCAGGTATTTTTGTAAACGCATTTCAGAATTAATAAGCAGCTTAAAATTACAATATATTGGGACTTGCAAAAGAATAGTGTCTCAACATACAAAGTTATCCAAAGGGACTTTTAAACAGAAAAGCGTCTTTTATATTCAAGTTGTTAATCCTATATTAATAACACACGTTTTTCTTGTTGTTTTTTTTTGATATTTGAACCAAGAGTATTAACAGCATTATGGACTATTTAAAGTAATAATAGGATCCCATTTCTCTTTTCATCTCAAATAAATTTAATCATCACCAGCAAGTTTACAAATTCACACTTGGTTAAATATTTTAAACGTAACTGGAGATCCTTTATGTACAAGATTATAGTCCCTTACATTCCGTTGGTTGAGCCTTTAGCACCTGCCTACAGGGATATATATATAATACTGTGTTAATGTAAATAACTGTAGGTGTTTGTTTTTTCACAAAGTACTTGTTATAGGCAATGATGAAAGATATTGTAGCAAAGATCTAATCTGGGCAATAGAAGTGAATCTTAACCCTGATTGAGTGCATTAGATATGGATAAAAGAGTAATATGAACTGTGATGCTATTGTTATACCTATCACAACCAGTTGTTAAAAGACTTTCTTCACACAGTTTATATCTCTAAACAAGATGATCTATTACACTGTAATTGCCAGTCGTGTTTTTTTTTAACGGAGCAACAAATTAGCAACATTATTACCTATCTACAACATTACTTTATCTATTAAGAGGCGATATCACTCCTCGATTGTCATTGATGCGCAAAACAGTAATTTAAGATTGAATCAGGCATTTTCAAATTGAGACAAAAATTGCAGATTGATTGCAAACATACAGACATTATTAGTCCACATTCAAAATGGTTTTCAAAGAGACAAGTTAAAGTTACTGATATACAATTGATGCACTTTAAGACAGTGTCTGGATTTGTAAAATCGGATGAGTCAGTGGTTATTTCTAACATGATATATTACATACTATTATGTTCATGGTAATAAATTTATTAGAGCTCTTATGTGACCAATCAACTATCTATTTAGAAATACTTGTACCTAGCACACTTGGATCACAGGACTCAGTTTTTTCAATCATTATATTTATGATGTATGTTTTATTGATGGAATATTTTAATATCCGCCATATATAGTTTCGAGTATGTTCAAGGGGACTCTCATAAAACTGTTAAGATATTTTTGTTAACCCAACAACTTAAATCAATTGACATTGCTGTTTCATTTAAAGGTTATTGGAAGATTGGCTGTCTTATTATAAACAATTGTCTAACCAAGTAGTCTTCTAGTGGGAATAAACTTGAAAGCTGATTTGACATTTCTTTAAACAATATGCATAAATAAACAATAGATTGCTAAAAATTTTAAGGCTAAGTTTGTTGAAAACACAAAATAGAATTTTTTATTTTTTTTCAGAAATGCTAACTCTATATTCAAATACTATTTTTTTTTTCATAAATATCGATTTAACCTTCCATAATAAGAAAGCATGGTGTAAGACTCAATTTATGCCCATTCATTCCAGAAAACCTGGAAAAGTCCAAATGGAATGAAGTGTAATGTTCAGTCAGCACAACACTTCAAAGGTTATAGTCTATTCCAATCCAAGGGGGAGGCGAGGATTTTACCAAATTAACTGTTCTATTTCGAGTGACCATACTCGGCCTAATGCTTGAAACCCATTACTGTTGTGAACTAATTTGAATAATTATGGGATTTCAGAAATTAAAGCAAAAAAAGTCAACATGTAACTTACTTCTGATGAGACTCTCGTGTGTGAAAGGACTTCCACCAGGTACGGCTGCTGGTAATGCTGTTGATGTTAACTGTGGTGGAGTATGATGAGGATGCAGTGGAGGAGGCGCAAACATACTATGGTGGTGAGGGGTGCTGTGATGATGTAGTGGATGGGGGTTCACGTGTGGAGGGAATGTGGAAGGGTGGCCGTGTAAGGAATGTAATGGGGAGGGGAGACTAGGAGACTGAGAATGGGGCAGATGAGGTGATGGTTGATTGTTATATGGGGAAGCACTGAAAGTAACAAAAAACACATTTTTTTTAGCTTATAACTTATGAAAGAAATTGTGATCAAGAATTTGTATCAAATCTTCCAACCATACCAAACCATTTACATAATGGGAATGCAAGTTATTCTGGTATGTTTCCCTGATGAAGTCCATGTATTATTACACCAATTTATTCCTTTGTATTTATGGATTTTCAATTTGAATTTACTTAATGATACTATATGAATTAAAAAGAATACAATTAAACTTTTAAATCAACAATGAAAATATTATGTGATAGTATTAAAACATTAATCTTAGACTTACCTAGGCCAATGGGGTTTAGGAAAAGGATAACTGTTGCTATGACTACTATGAGACAAAACTTCTCGTTCCCTAGAATCTCTAGAGTCTTCTCTTCGTATCACTGGTCTTGGGGGAGGAGTAGCTTTAACAGGTTCCTTTATTGTTATAGGTGGGGGGATGATCAGTGGCGAGGGGTGTTGTTTAACAGGAGGTGGTGTTGGTCGAGCAGGGCGCGGTGGGGGAGTGGGCGATAGTCGTCTGTGAGATACAGGAGTTGGCGTTGTCACAGGTCTGGATGGAGGTCGTACAACTGTAGTAGCAGCAGCTGTCAATGTAGATGTGGTACTGGTTGTCGTGGTTATTGTCGCTGAGGTAACATCAGCAGTAGTGGTGGGTGGAGGTGATGGTGAAGCGCTGGCCGTGCCATTACACACAGTTGATGAAGATGTGGGTGGAGTTAGTGGTGCCACTGATTCTAATGGTGTTGGTGTAGGCGTAGGAATACGTTCAATAGTTGGACCTGAAAAAAATCCAATTAATGAATGACTAAATTTTATCTAAAAAGGACATTATTTAATAACTGCATTACAATCATTAACTGATCATTGCAAAAAGACCAATCAGAACTTCATTCTTTCAACATGAAACAGAAGGCCCGAGTTTAAAGATACATTATGTAAGATCTAAATACAGAGCTAGCTATTCATGCTATAATAGTTCGAAAATTGATAATGTAAAAGGAATAATTTGAAAATTTCATTCAAATTACTCCATTGCGAGCGAAGATATTAACCTTTGAAGGTTTGACAAGGAATGTGCAATAATTGCAACCACCGTACTGGCTGTTCGAAGCTAAGTCTCGCTCCTCCATTTTTAAATTAAATCAAAATATGGCTGAACTGTTCTAATCTTTTTAATATCAGAGAAAAGAGATGACAACGATACTTGATTATGGCCTGGATCAGTTAATTAATGTCTAATTAATAATTTATAAAAAAAAATGCAATAGGCAGATTTAGCTCTTGCATAATGTATGTTTAAGTTCAGGGTAGATAAAAAGATGGCATCGAATGACAATAAACTAGACATATCATTTCAATCATCAATATTGATAAAATACAGGAAGTTTATCTGACCATACTGATGGTTACTGATAGATTCAATAGCCACATCTCTCATCATAGCGAGATGGTGGCGCCCTCTCTTGTAAACATCCTTCAATTGTTTCTTAAGAAGATAACCAGAGAAGAATAAAGGTAATAAAAAGCAAATATAAGAATTTACTTGCACACATTATCGCTGCTAGATAAACACAATATACACAAAGCTAGATGTTAACAGCCACATAGATAGAATACCTCTACTGTCATCTTATCCCTTCTGACTTATCAGCCTGATAAAAATGTGCAAGATATCTACCTATCACTGGAAATCTGAGCACTTTGAAATGTTGCTAGTGCCAAAGCCATCATGAAAACATTAGCAGTATGTTTGTGTGAGGGGAGGAAATGACTCTGGCATGCTTAGACCTACTGTTTTCTAAATACAGCTGGTAGGCATCATTAGAAGTCTTTGTGTTCTATCCCTGCCATAACTAACATCTTCTACACTTCAGGTATGGTCTACCTATATTGTTCCACTTCATGGCACTTGTAAGCTTTTTACTTGTTTTATTGTTACAGAAAATTCATTAACGTCATCAAATGTGAATTATATGATGGCACTTCAAATAAGTCAGTCTGACAAATTATAGTACTCTAATACAAAGTTTTAAGCATTTCTAAAAAGATCATGTATATCCTTCCTAATGTCTCAAAAAACACTACTTGGCATAGATTTCAAGAGTTTCCAAATGTTTTTCATGATAAATCCATCAACAATATCGAAGAAATGTACCATACATAAGAATGCATTAATCACTAGTGTACAGAGTAATGATAACATCAGATACCAATACAAAACCAGCTTCCCAAAAATGTTTTTGTTATTAAATCATCAACAAAACTATAAAAGAAATGTTTTTTCTCACTGGTCCAAACATAAATATATGGCAATAAAACATAGATATAAGTAACTATGAGCTGGTAGAAAGTTCCGATAACATCAAATAGTACCAGTTGTTATCTTGTTAATACACCCTCCAGGATCATCACCTTAAATACTGCTTTAAAGATACCCAATATAGATTACAAACACAGTAAATACCAAGGTTTACAGCTAAATTATCAACACCCCTGATAGCTTTGAGCTCTAAGATACAAATCAAGACTTTTTGTTTTTTACATTAGAGTCAGGTATCACGAAGTTTTGCATTGGATGTCTTGTAAAAGAATTGCACCTTAAAGATGACATTATATATACCCAACAGAGATTACAAAACATGGTATAACTGGAATTTAGAGATAAATTATCATCACTTTTGGGCACCAAACAACTACGAGAAATTATAACATTTAGTCAATCAAGTTCTAAGATAAGGAGGTTGGTTTTTTTTGCATCGCTTGCCATGTAAAAGAAAACAAACCCAAATGTTAGAAGATTTGCGGAAATATCCAACATAGCACTTGTAATAAGCTCATCATAATCGTCATACCAAGCGATCTTGACGCACCTCTTCACATGATGAATAAACAAGAAATACATATATATATATATATATGTATATTGTTTTCCTCATCTATATTCTAACCAAATCTATCTACAACATGGTTTCCTACCCAAATCAATTATGGTATAGAATACTGTTACTCCAATTGCTGATCTCAATTCCACATCTCCCATTGAGTGAGTTTTTACGGCACATGGTTGTGTTTATCTAGAGGCGAATGTACCCACCCAAACTGTCACCTATCCCTAGGTTTCTTACATAATGATTTGCACAACCACACATATCCTACCATCACATCTGCTCAAACACCAAATTTGTGATTTTTCTGTTTATTTATATTTTTCCTGGGAACCATATTGTGTCCCTCATAAACATGTGCGCTCCAAACAGTAATGAGTCTACAATTGCCTTGAATCCCTGTTACATATTTTAATAACGTGCAGAAGTAAACCTATATATCAGAAGAAGCATCAGTATTTTCTATTTTTACTTCAATAACCAAAACATATGGACAAAACCCATTTATTTATACATGTGGGGAAAACATTATGATGAAGATAAATGATGCAGAGAGAAATTCCATTAGAATTCAGCGCAAAATACTAAATCAACTGATTTTGCATCAGCCATATTGGATTAATGTCAGAATTAAGACGATAGTAACTGGTGAAAGCAGTCATTTGTCAACTTTGAAAAGTAAATCTGTAAGACAATGATGGGAGGTTGTTGATACGGTCAGATAATAAGCCGGCTTTGTTTTAAAGGGAACTGTTAAGACTACTATTGGGTGGTAGATAAATCCCATCATTTATCAGAATTAACTGCTGAACACCATTAAATGTTATGGCGTGACTAGAATAATTTGTCTAGGCAATCTACTGCTCTACTGACTGGCTCACGACAACAGATGGCATAAAATATAATTTAACTGCGACATAAAATTGTAATTCTAAGCAATTTGTAAGAAAACTCTATTTCATTATTCAAACCCAGTCCCTTCTAGCTATATAGATAGCGAATTTAATCAATTTTTAAAACTCTCTCGCAATAGCAGAGCAGCAGACAATTTCTATTTTGCTTCTTCCATTCAAGTTTTAATATCATAGCACAAACCGTCTAATTCAATAAGCAATCGTTCTACCACCCAAAGCATTCCAACGGAACCAATGGTGTAAAACTTAGACTTGGACCACCATCATCTTCAAATAACAGTCATTATCCCACATGTCTAAATAATCATAGACTATTAAAGTGCAGGTGCTTCAGGTTGTATGTAAATAAAAGATAGGACTACTTGATCTACTCTGCTCAAATCATTAGAGTTCAATAAGAACACTAACACAGAATTACGAATATTAAACATTGTATTTGTGGACAGTTGGATAACTTCCTCTTTGAAAAAAAAAACGTAACAGATGCACACACAAATGAATGAAATGTCATGAATGCAGGTGCCACTTTCACATCCAGCTGAACCTTGCAGCACAGATCACAAGCAAGAGAAACACAATATCCTTATGTGCATAGAAATTTCCTGTTTTTTTCAGATATTTTGGCACAGAAAGGAAAGGATTGGAGTTTAATGTTTCATCAACACAATAATTCAGTCATTTTGAGACTAAATATGGTTACTTGGTCTATGCTCAAGTGTACAATGCCACAAAAAGAAGTTTGCCTGACAGAAGCATTTTGGCCTATTTCTGTACAATCTGAAAGACAAAGGAACACTTTCCTGGTCAGCCCTGTAGGTCCTATCACTGACAAGTGGGAACCTGCTTTGAGGCACAAAAAGGACCACTGAATATTACAAATATTGTCATTCCCACCTTAAAGCAGTAGCTTAAATCCAAGACTGCAATGAATTAACGCCTTGCTCAAAATACAGCCTGTGGGAGGAAGAATCCCTGAACAACGTAGGTACACTTTTCTTCCATATCCCATTAATCAAACTAGTATTATTGTCATTTTACCCTAAAAATGTTTAATTTCTTTATGATATTTGATCACTAGAAAAAAAAATCTTATTACCAGTTTTAAGTCTGCCATTACTTTTTTTAGATAATCAAATCAAAACATTTTTTCATTAAAATTAATCCACTTATCCATCAACAAAGAGTCCTGTCCAAATCACCCTAAAACCCCATTATGTCCAATCAAAATTTTCAGCAACACTGAACCACAAGATCATTAAAGAAAACCTGCTACTAAACTGTGCTGCGACCTACTCAAGATGGAGACCATTTTTCTAAATTTGGCTGGTCTGTGACAGATGGTGGAATCAGGATGTCAAATTGAATAAAACTATGAAGAGGGGAAGCCCTAGAAACACACAGCAATTCAATTGAATGATTCAGTATTTTAGTGGGTTGTCGAGTTCTTATTATCCCCAATAGCCTTTATATTGACCTCTAGGGCCTTTTGTAATAACCCTTGTTTGACACTTGAGTCTCTGATAACAACAGGACTACTCTATGGGGAATATTTCAAACATCCCGAAACTCTAATGGTGTTATCAGTCTTCTGGTGTCTCTGAGTTATGATACTGACCTAATGACTAGTGTTTCACACCCTGGGTTTGTTCTGGTTGTTGATAGAGATAATTATCTTATTACAATACCACTACTTGATGACCATCGCTAACAGCAGGAAACAATGATAAAATATGGAATCAATTACAAACTGAACCTTCTCCAGAATTAGAGCTCAGATAAACATCCATTTTCAACCCAACAATCTGTCATCTAGCAACCTGCTATCAATCATGACTGAGAGATGCTAATAATCTAGTTGAAAGATCATCAATGTAGTTAATTAATTAATTAGTCTCTCCATCTCTCAATTCTGCTTTTAATCTTATTATTTATTTGAAATGAATTTCAATAAGATGATAATTTAATTATGTCATCGGAGACATTGTTTGACACAAGACAGAATGGCAGTTTTCAGAAATAATAACTTTCAAGTTATGGTAAAATATTTGAAGTCAAAACAGATTATAATATTTTTGCAAACAATTTAACACAGTTCTTTAACTCACTGAACAAAATAAAAAATATTGGTAGCCAGACTTCAAAACATGTGCCCATAGCAGCCAAGTAATCCATAAAGGTCACATTTTTATTTTTTTGTTCAAAGGGATCAAGGGCAATAACCCTGAAAGTAATTACTGGAAATCAGTAAACATAAAAACTCGGTATAAATTTAAAGGCAATCTGCGGATCAATTTACCCTCTGGACAGACAGGCAGACATAGGATTGACACCAATATATGACCAATGTAGGGTGTATAAGAACCTTCAAGTCCTGATTTATACACTGGAATAAAAACATCATTCAAAGACCAAATACAGTTTCATTTTAAATCACTACCCTTAACCTAAAAAAAAATACAATTTACTTTAACAGCTAAACACTAACAGTACAGCAAACCCAAGTGAACAGCATGTTTATGTGAATGTTTATATCCCAGTATCAAACTAATTAACACTGACCACAAGCACAGTGATCAATTTACATTAGACAGCCTGGTCTTAATCCTCTCTAACTAACCCTTTATACACTTGTAAACAAACTTGTCCATAGGGGTCAGCAATTGGCCACAAACAAACCAAATGGATAATTAATTTTACAGCTGATCATGACCTGATGCTCCCTGATGTGACAGGGTAATTCCCCCACCAAGGGGTACAATTTTATTGACCTGCCCATCTTATTAAAACATGAATTGTTCAAATCTGGTGTTAGTCTGGCAGTTCAACAACTCCAGAAAGACGGCCATCTGCTCGGACTGAGTGTGTGGTCAGAAGAAGGAAATAGCTATGTTAAAACAACTTCACTTTCACTCAACCGTGTCTCTACGAAAATAACTAACAAAATTTTATCTGGCACATCTTTCGTTCAATAATAATTGGGGGGTCACGGTGGCTAAGTGGGTAAGACGCTGGCTTGCTAGTCTGGAGGTCAGGTGTTCGATCCCTGCATTGGCCGAGAAAGTTCATCAAGATTTTCCAATGTGGTTCCCCTTGTCAGTGATGCAGGACGGAGGGCCTGACAAGGACAGTTGTCTAGTCGTTTGGATGGGACGGAAAACTGAGGTCCCGTGTACATGTTGGCGTGCATGTAAAAGATCCCTTGACAGTTGGAATTCGATGTAAGAGTAGGCCATAGTGCCGCTGTCCGGGCAAAATTTCCCTCATAGCACACTGTATGGCATACGTCCATCTTCATTAGCCCAGTTCGGAGTAGAATAGTAGGATGTTAAAACCCATTTCATTTCATTTCATTTCAATAATAATTGCTATCAAAAATCCATCGCCACTGCAATGGCTGATAAGCACAAAAACAATTTACCAACTAATAATTTATAGGGATGGAGGCGAAGAAGGAAATTAATCTAACTGAATACACATTTAATGATAATATAAATTAACTTTTATTTCTCTACAAAAATAATTTTTATCTTGTATCTTATTTCTTTAATATCACCAGCAGACTATCTCTCTATTTAAACCTATAATTAAGTATGATAAACACACATGCTACAGTGTTTGGGAGGGAAAAGGAAAGCCAGCTAGGTGAAGAAGGGCTATACCATAATTGCATACACCCATAACAATGATAAACAACTTCACCATTTACTGTTTCTCAATGAAAACAACAACTACATTTTATCTTAAAACTTCATTCAATAATAGTTCTCCCACAAACTTATCTTCATTTACAGCTAAATTAGCTAATAATGATAAACATACCCTCATATATTTACCAACCAATAAGTAAATATCTAAATCATTAAATTAACATTAGAATGTTGATAAAATCACTCCATTTAATCAAATTATATGATAAGTAGTCGACAGTTGGTATACATTTATTCAAGAGGAGATAACACTCCAATACATGTAAAATATCTCACTTAAACTACTTGCAACTGTAAATGAAATGCTGAGACCTTTCCAGTTGGGCTGAGAGCTGAATTGATTTGAAACATTTACTTAATTTACGTTGGATGGTTCTAAAGAGGTGAACTTGAGACTTCTTGTCTTCTTCATGATAATTATATTAGTTACAATGACTTCCTGTCTTCATTCAAGTACTTCTCAACAATTTCATGTTTGGCTAATTTCCTCCACGATAATTAATCTTAGTTCATGAAGAATAAAGATAAACCTAACAACGCAGATAACCAAGGAAGAGAGAAAACTGGGTATTACGTCCATTTCACAAAACAGAACCATTTTGGGACTAATACCTTGTAATTCTTTATTCTAATTTGCTTGTGAGCAGTGAGAGAAACTACAGAACATAGGGAAACCTCATTCCCCAAAATTCTCAGTAGTTTAAACGAGTTGCCCATCTTGCAACCATCATAGTGTAGTTTGGTCAATATTTTGGTAATTTAAATGGAAACCATGATAAGTCCAGTTATTTCAGAACATGCGATTTGTGGCGACTTGAACCACATCACTTGTGTTACAAATGCCAAAAATGGCTCAAAGGCATGGGTAAACTCTTTAAAAGTTTATTGCAGCTAGGTCTGAAACTGGTACCACACATTTTGAGACTGTGTAATAAGGGTTTAAAGGGACAATAACACTCTTGCTGGCTTGACAGCTCCAGAAAATAAATAATAGCCTTATTCTAAGTATTAGATGCGTTAGTGTCCTACCTGTTGTGTAAATTATCCATTAAATCCTATTTATTTGTCCAAAGAGTTCAAAAATATTTTTAAATCCTAGTCACATTTGAAAAGCTTTATGTCAGGCTTTTCAAATCATTTAGTTGAATTTTCCAATTTTTTAAATTAGGTGTGTTAAGATGAAATTTGTATCATACATTAATTGGAATGTTGTAAAATAGTACAATTTGTTGACTAGAATAAAGATTGGGACATATTATTCAGTTACAACAAGAGTGGTATTGAGCCTTTAAGTATAATAAAAAAAAGTACAACTAAAATACACATGCCTGTAGCAGTTCACATTGGAATACAACAATAAAATCTTTTACAAAAATCAATAAAATAAGAAAATATGTTTTACATTCTGAACATAAAGAACAAAATAATTCTACATGAGTTATAATTGAAGTTGCTGGTGTGTTATAATTGAAGTTATTGTGGTTTAACAATTAATCAATGGAACATAAAGATACATTATAGGAGATTCGATAACGAGATGGCAGTTCTCACTATAATAATTAAAAACTAGATAATGTAAAGGCAATTTGCTGAAAATTTCATTCATATTGATCCACTATGAACCAAGAACTAAGCGAATGAAATTTCTGCCTAGCCTTGGTCATCATTACTAAAGTCAGTACGATAAACAGCATAGTCTCGATAAACAGCATAGTCTCGATTATCTATTTAATCGTTTAATCGAGAAGGAAAGTTATGCAGTAAATCGGCTCACAATCCACCTAAGATCGCAGGCTAGCGATGCCATCTAGAGTCGATTATGGTCTGGATAAGTTAATTAATGTCTAATTAACAATTTAGATAACATTTCAGGCCTAAAGAAAGAACTGCAATAGACAGATTTAGCTCTTGCATAATGCATGTTTAAAAATACATAATAACACATTGTCAATACAACACAATGTACTTTGATTATAAAATCCCAGTCGCAAAGAAATCTGCTGTCAATGAATTTTGTTAGGTGTATCTCCGACATTTTCAATTTTGTTTTTAATTCTGAAGCAAGGGACATTGTCCTAGCTTTATATTTCAAATAAATAACTAGATACTTACGACTTTTATGACTAACTGTTGTGAATAGATCAGAACCAGATTCAGATACCTGTAAAAGATGAAAATATTTTAATATTTAGTAATTGGTCAATAGTACATTATCATACATAATAAACAAACAACCAACATAATAATGTCAGTCAATAGTTAGTCATCAAAAGTAAAGGCTTAATATAACTTGTTTCCACGACATTTAATACTGAACTGGTAATACACAGGACACAATTCTATGAAAAACAATTACTATTTATCATCAAGCGATATTACTTGATAAAGATATAAAAAGAAATGAGTTAACGTCCTACTTTTCTGCACCAACTGGGTTAACGAAAACTGGCTTGACGAGATCCATAGTCGAAATGTTGCTGAGTAATAAACAGTATATATGTATTCCATAGAATTGTGTTCTGTATTATAGGATTAAATGATCCAATAAATGAGAATTTTTATACATGTACGCCCTATCTAAAAGGCATGGTTTTTAACAATAAAAATTTATTCATTGTATTATAAATTATTGTTCCCCTATGCAACAGGTTATGTGATGTGACATCTGTGAAATATCTTTCTAACTAAATACAACAGTAATGAATTGACAATATTCAAACAGCTTGAAAAGCACAATAGTAATGCAACTCTTGAAGTATATAAATTGAATTTTTTGTATATGTACTTGTGTAAATGAAATAATCAACATTTCAAGCATTTTTCTATTATTGAAAACTTTGTGAAAAATCTATATTTGTCGTATTTTTAAGAGCTTGACTGAAACAATGCTGAGGGGCTATGAGAATTTTGAATAGGTTAATAGCCTGCCCTGATGAAATACAATTCAAATTATTGACATATTAATCTTGAGGGCAAAAAAAAAAAAAATACATTAAGCTGAAAACTCTTTTTTTTATTTTGATTGATCCATCTAACATTAGACAGAGAACAAATTACAACACGAATTATGTACTGAGTTAACTCTATTGGCAATGAAGTAATCTATATATGGAATGCCTATTAATAATAAAAATCCATTAAAGGTCTTTTAAACTTTTTATAATAGGTAAAGTTGAATCAACCACTGTGAATAGTTGTGACTGAACTGGTATTGAGGTACTGCACCATTGGAACAACTAAATGCATTAATATATTAGATCAAATAGTCATTATCAACCACAATGATTGGCACTTATCCACTTGACGTTAATAATGGTGGCCTGCCTTACTTGGGACAACCTTTTACTTATTAACAAGCTACGATATACATTGTCAAAGTAACTGTTTTACTACCCAACTTTTTATAAATTTGATGAATCAAAAAAATATGAAAACATGCTCCATTTAGTAGAGTAGCCTTGAAAAGTTAAAGAAAGCACTCTTTACACTGTGTATATTATATGTAGAACTATTGTTATAGTCTGACCCTGCCCCACCAAGGTTAAATGTATATAATATAATAAACAGCGAGAAAAGATATATAATATACCATATTCAACATAATCACCGTGCTGACCACCTGTCGGTTTTCTTGGACTGTATTATAATATACTCACAGTCTTTTTTTAAAATCTCTGTGTTCTAAACAAATGACTACACAACATTGGCCTGTCCACTATTAATATTTGAATGATGAAAAACTTTGACAACTGAGGAAGTTAGTGTGCTCTCAGAGAAATGGAAAGTGTTGGCTAAACACATCTTAAGGTGCTCTGGTAGTTTTTACATTCAGTATGGTATGTAAATTATGATAATAACATGGGATGTAAATGTGATATAAATTATTATTTATATAAATATATATCTCCAGTATTAACAACTTAAGTTCCCAGTATGCTTTTACAAACTTTTCTACAGACTAACTGACCCATAGCCTTTCATATATTCTTAATTCTAGGTTAAACCAATTTTCCATATCCACAAATCTTAATATGAAACATTTTAATTTTCTTTAAGTCTAGTGACCCAGAAACTTTTATATATTTTTCATTCTAGGTTAAGCCAATTTTCCATACATCAAGATATCCACAAGTTTTAATATGAAATATCTTAATTCTCAGTTAAACCAGTTTTCTTAAAGTCTAGTGACTCATAAACTTTTATAATATAAATTAATTCAAATCTTAGATAAGGAAGTTTTACAGCAAAGCCTTCAAGTATAAAACTATAAATGAAGTCTAGTTCAGATGACATTGGCAATAAACTTGACAATACAGACGTCTGTTTACTAGCCGTAGGTCCATTAAACAATGACAAGGATTACCTTTGAGATCAGTGGTAGTCAAAGAAAATACTGCAGGCATTTAGCTATTTGGTTAAGCTTTGTTCTCACTTCTGTAAGATTATTAAATCTTCCTGTTGTCTAATTCATCCCAGCCAGTCAAAAGACTTAAAGTATTATCAATGTCAACAAGATATTTCTGTCAAAGTCTACTTATTTAAATCACGTCACTGTTGTTATTTTGCTGAAAGCTATTGAAGGACCGATACAGATTTCTGCAAACTGGTAAACGAAGCTTTGAAATATCGTCAATGGGTTCATTTACTTGCTGTTCACACAGACAATCAAATATAATTTACTACAAATATTCTCTTATATGTTTCTATATTAAAGTTTTATTAGCAAACAGGAAATTATAAGACTAACAGTGTTCAGTATTCTGATAAACTATGACTATCATAAAGAGAGAGGTACTTGACATTGTGGCCTTTACTTCTTTACACCTGACAATTTCTCACATTCATTATCCAAATATAACACCCTCTATTCATATCATTACTTTACCCGGGAAAGAAGCGAGAAATCTTCTGCATTATGTTCGATATTATGATATTGGTCAAGTATTCAATTTGTAAAGCTTTACCTTCCTTTGACAAATTATTTGATCCTCAAGTGCTGTCAATCCATTCCATTGTTAGTCATTCAAACTAGCTCTATTGATCAAACCGACTCACTCATGTACAAAATATTTGTCCTGATCATTTATATACAAGGTAAACCTATAGATATACATGTATTGTTATAAACTCTAAAACACACACATCGCTAGTTTATACTCTATGTACCAATAATAAATAACATTTTATTACTTATCAAATTGAACAGACATTTACTTCAAAAGATTTTTAGTTAACAATCACAAATAGAGGCAAAGCCAGAATTTCGTATTTTCTTTTCTAAGTTAAAATAATCATGGAATATAGTCCAATGTGTACCATACTTGTAGTTTTCAAAGCCCACCCTCGATGAGATCTTCACCTTTTAGCAAGACAAAAAGAACAAGTAAACTAATCGCCCTGATATAGTTTATGCCATTTCCAACTTCTGAAGGATACAGTGTTTAAGCACTAATCATCAATCCATTTCCAGAGTTTGAAGAAAATCGGAATCAGACGCCCAGAACATTAAACGGATAATCTGGTCGGTAATGGAGAACAAATTTACCAACAAAACTCTTAAATCTGTTAGGTATAATAAGTGCACTTTCACCAAAAAACAAAGTTAGAGTGCATAGCCAAGATCTCTTCACCTCTCCACAACTGGTTTGATTTTCAAACTTCCCTAACACGTGCACTCAATCACATTAACGAGGCATGTGTAAATCTACTTTTCTAATCTGAAACATTTGTCATAGAAAGATTTTCCTTACAAAAACTTTAATTTTCTCCATATTTACATGTGTTTTGTATTCTGGGACAGAAACACCCCAATAAAAAAGCTTTTTTAAAGCCACTAGGGGCATTTAGCACTCTGCTCCCCTACTAATTGATGGAGAATTGTTTTCTTCAATAAAATGTATTTGACCTTCTTTTCTGTTTTCTCAGCCCAAGAACCATTGGAAAAGATACAGAAACCAACCAATTCAAAGAGAATTTGATATGTGTGCTATTTAGGCTGTGTTTGTCTGTCTTGTAGAAACTGTCACCTACCAGTTTGTGTACTTGGAAGCAGAAAAACCCCCCACTAATAATGCATCCCAAGAGTGATATAATAGTATGTGCAGGAGGGCTGCAACATATAAACAATTCCACAAGACAGACCTATGGACAGAACAGACATTTCAAACAATAAACAACAAACTTTCAGTATGGTGTTAAAATGTGGATCAAATCGGAAGAAGGCAATAGCCAATTACTACCATTTGTGGACTACATGTGAACATCTACAGAGACGAAATATCAGAGATTCCAATTCTTCATGTTACCAGTACTTCTTTATCCTGGAAGTCTGGCTATAAAAGGAAACCAAATGGCGCTAAAGTACAATTTACCTTAAAATGTAGGAATGCTGTTAAGAGATTATTGAGAGATTGATAAATCTGTAATTTGTCGAGAAACTAAGTACAACTAAATGTCAGTAACACGAGAAAATATATCCACACAACAGGAAGCATGTTAAAACTTGAAATTTATTAAACAATGTCTGAAGCAATGGTCGTCTGTAAAGATACCTGGTGAAACCAGTGACTCCTCTCCTTAAGCCATTGTATTTCTGAAGGTTTTCAGCCACAATGTAAATTTCATATAAATCACGGGAAACTCTCCACTGGTTCAACTGACATTTCTAGACATTACTGACATCAGTTTTATATTAGCCTTGTCTCGAAACACATGGGGCCTCTAATACTCTTACTGTAACCCAGAAATATTTCATTTAACAAGACAATCATTCCATTTAGAGAGTAAGTGCAATTCAGACTGTATAATTCAAATGCAAAATCATGAGGACAATATTACACTATTATATAGATGTCTAGGGTAAAATCAATCGATTCATGTCTGCAAAAACTAAAATATATTGTTAGCCCAATACAGGTAATATCACATTAGGAACTTGTGCATTACTTGTGTATTTCAATCTTTTGTAACTAACATATATTTGTAATCATGTGATACACACTCAAATACACAAAGGTGTGCGAGAGAGTTAATTATACCGAAATAAAATCTATTGTCCATTTAACACAAATGGGCTATTTTGGAACTAACATATTATTATATATATTTCATTAATTCAAATAGAGTGAAGGGTAGTTAGCTGAGCAGCCTAATTTGTTTTTT